TTGCCACATAAACAATTAATCCGATATAAACTTCTGTTGATAATTTAGGTAATGCGTCTTTAGTACAAGATACTAGTTTTTGAATTTTGTGTACTGTACCAAATCTTACTGTAATGTTTTGCTTTTGCAAAACACGGGCTAATTTGTCAGTTACTCCTGAGATATATGGAATTTTAATTGTTTTAACAATCTGATCGCTTTCAGCAGTATTGCTTTGCGATCGTGATTTGGCATTCAGTGCTCTGTTAATTTGAGCATTATTGTAGCCATTCTGTCGTAGTGCTTCTTTAACGTGTTTGATCTCTCTCACTAGACTTTCACTATCTGACACTGTTTTAGCCCGATCTATGAGCGTCTTGATAAGAGAGGATTTCTGAGCTGGATGATGATGCGAATCTGCATTCAGATAGGCATCAGTGTGCGTTTGCTTTCTGTAAACGCTGTGTTATTTTACCGTTTAGGCCATGTCCAAGCAAAATATCTAGGAATGGGAGTATGTTACTCACCTCCATTTCCATGGTGAACTGGATGGCCGGGTTTTGTGCATTTAGATGATTTAGAAAATCATTAAGGGTAACTTTACCATGTGGCCAGACAACCAAAGTGTCATCTACATATCTAAACCAAAAAGATGGTTTTAATGTGCTCGAGGCAAGTGCTCTTATTTCAAAGTTTTCCATGTACAGATTTGCTATAGCAGGGGATGAAAAAGGAGAGCCCATTGCTGCTCCTTCCTTTTGTTTAAAGAAATCCCCTCTCCATAAGAAGTGTTATTTAAACAATGGTCAGCAAGTTTCGGAATATCTTTTGGTAAACCTATATTCTTTACTAGTGTATCAAGTAATTTAAGCGATTCGTTCACTGGAACCTGTGCATATAGAAATCACGTCAAAACTTATCAGAATATCATTAGGATTAAGTTTAATATCTTTAATCACATTCACAAGATGTTCTGAATTTCTTATGAATGAAGATGTCCTACCGATGTAGGGTTGTATTTGTTTTGTTATATATTTTGCTAATTTATATGTGGCAGAGCCAATTGCATTGACTATGGGTCGTAATGGTATGTCGATTTTATGAATCTTTGGTAGCCCATACAGTCTAGGTGGTTTTGAGGCCCTTGGCTTAATTTGGTATTGCTCATTCTTAGGGATTAATGAATTTGCAATTATTGCAGTAGGCTTACATTCTAAAGTATTAGTTGGATCTCATTTAATTTTAATGTAGGTACTTTTCTCTAGTAAATTTCTAATTTTATTATCATAATCGGCTTGTGACATCACTACAGTAGTGCGCCTTTATCAGCTGCCAGGATTTGGATATCTTTATTTACACGCAGCTCTCTGAAGGCTTTTGCCTCGTTAGAGCTATTTACTTTTGGAACTTTGCTATTCTCAATTACTTTGGCAACCTCGTGTCTAGTCATCTCTGCCTCATTATGTGGAAGTAGTCTTACTGCTGATTCTACCTCAGCAATTATCTCATCCACTGTAATTGTACGTGGGGTAATGGCGAAGTTAAGGCTTTTAGAAAGAACAGAGATCATGTCACTGGTTAAAACAGTGTTAGCAAAGTTCATTACGGTTTTGTTTTTAAATTGTTCGTTTTTAGTAGGAATTTGTTTATTATGAAGTCTAGAAAATTTATTAATTTGGTGGGTTTTTGTTAGATTAAACACATTATCAGCCGATTGTTGTGTTATGGTATCGATTATATTCCAATAATGCATGGATACACTATTGCTTATATCTAAGTGTAACTGCTTTAGCGATTCTGAAATGTGAGATAATTCACTCCTGTTGTGCTGTATTCTCTCTATTAATAATTCACTAGCTTTGTGTAGTATTTGGCTAGCTTTAGAAGACTTTATGTGATGTTTTATTTTAACTGCGTTAGGCATTACCTTTGAATCTCTGCACCTTTTGAGGAACGCCAGTGAAGATATCAATTTCATCCGCTTAATGCGGAGCTTCTCCAACTTTCTGGTTTTAAGAAAAGTATCCTCCCCATAGAGGTTAGTCAGTTTAACACGTAGGCTTTCGCGACCAATATTATTCATAAAGGTTTTTTGGTTAGATCGCGTTATTTATAAATGTGTCATAACCCTCCACCACCCGACACGGCCAATCAGCAAAAAAAGTGTCACGTTGACAAAAGACAAATAGCTCACTACTTTAGCCTACCGGTGTATTGAAGAGTGAATCCACAACATTTACAGTTTGAGTACGACGTTTCGCTGGTAATTACATCCAGCATCATCGGGCAATTCGCCAGAATGGTAAAGCCCTCGCTTGCTCCCGGTCTTAAATAGAGCAGCAGGGTGACGTCATAATTTAACTCATTTCAGGTGCAGTGATTTGAGGTGGAGGGGGGGGGGGTATTGTAATTATATAATCGATTGGTAATCAGTCAATGGTTATTTTTAGTAATGAATTGTAGATTGGTAATTAGTTGTAATGTTTTATTGTGTTTATGTTAGTAATCCGTTAATCAGTATGCGTTTCCCCTATAAGGAATTGTAATATATATTATTTAATAATACGCTTCCAAGCCGCACTAAGCCTGTAGCTGTCAGAGTGATTAAAGATATTTCTATTCCTCTCAATTTCAATGGATTCTCTGATTAGTCTTTGCCAGTAATAATTAGTTTTACACAACACTTCAACGTTATCAAAATCAATTGAGTGTCCTTGTTGACAAGCATGTTCTGCCACTGCCGACAGTTGTGTTTGAGATAATTTAATATTTCTTTAATGTTCTTTTAGTCTTATGCTGATGTTACGTCCCGTCTGTCCAATATAGCATCTGCCACATAAACAATTAATCCGATATACACCTTCTGTAGATAATTTAGGAAATGCGTCTTTAGTGCAAGATACTATTTTTTGAATTTTGTGTACTGTACCAAATTTTACTTAATGTTTTGCTTTTGCAAAACACAGGCTAATTTGTCAGTTACTCCTGAGATATATGGAATTTTAATTGTTTTAACAATCTGATCGCTTTCAGCAGTATTGCTTTGCGATCGTGATTTGGCTGTGTATACACTGTGTGTACTGTATGTACAAACTGTGTATACACTGTGTGTGTGTAGAAACTGTGTATACACTGTGTGTGTGTGTGTACAAACTGTGTATACACTGTGTGTGTACAAATTGTGTATACACTGTGTGTGTGTACAAACTGTGTATACACTGTGTGTACTGTGTTTACAAACTGTGTATGCACTGTGTGTACTGTGTGTACAAACTGTGTATACACTTTGTGTGCGTTCTGTGTGTGTGTGTACAAACTGTGTATACACTGTGTGTGGACTGTGTGTGTGTGTGTACAAACTGTGTATACACTGTGTGGGTTCTGTGTCGGGCAGAGCAAACCAGTGGTACAACCCCAGAGCCGCGAAGGCCGATGTCCTTTTCAGGGCCGGATTCGTGTGGCTGGTGGTCGAGACCTGTGCCGAAGCTGGGCCAGGTCAATTAGTCTCCTTGAGAGGAGGATGGTAGGATAGAGGGAAGTAGAGGAGTTAACTTGGGGTGTTAGCTTGGGAAATACTTCCCTCTGTAGAACGGGTGAAGAGGCTGTAGTGCCACCGCAGCGGAGCAACTCCGCCGGCGCTACCCTCTCCTCGCAACCCCCCCCCCGCCCCCCCCACGAACGCACGCCCCACTAAACACTCACATGCACCCCCGTAGGGTCTCGAGGAGGGATCACCTGGTACGATGGGTTTTCACCAGAGGACCCCACTAGCAGGGACGTTCCACGGTTTCCCCGGACCAGGAAATTGGCTGAGCCCCCCAGACCGGATTTCATGGTGGCCCCCAAAGAAGGGGGCGTAGAGCTTTACAGGATGGCCGCGATGAAGCATTCACAACACGGGGGGGGGGGGGGGGACCTCAAGGCCAGCACCCAGCAGCAGGGTTAACAGTGGGGAGGGAGGGAAAAGGAGCGCAATCTACCAACCCTCGAGGACCTGCACACCACGAGGACCATGAGGCGAGCGAGGAAGATTTGTGGCCGATTGCTCCCACCCTGGCCACTCTCTCTTTCAGCTACTCCCCTCCGGCAGAAGGCTGTGGTCCATCAGGAGCAAAACCTCACGCCACAAAAACAGATTCTTCCCATCCGCTGGTGGCCTCTTCAACAAGGCCAAGGACTTACACTGACTTTAACATTTTATCTACAAAATGACACCTTGCCAATATTAACTATGTTACCCTATTTGTATTTTTTATTTATTTTAAGATTGTATCTTATAGCTATTTTATATTCTATATTTATTCAATTTTATATACTTTAGCCTCTTGGTGTTAGACTTTGAACCCTTATTATAGTAAGACTTGTTTACCACTTAAGATTTAAGTTTCCTATATGTTGAATGTATGCACCATCCTGCCAAAGTAAATTCCGTGTCTGTGTGAACTTTCATGGCGAATAAAACCCTTTCTGATTCTGATTCTTTCTGATTCTGATAGGAGGTTAGGCGTGTCCGAAGGGTGCTGGCTGGAGGGGGCCATAAACGGGGGTCACCATTCGCTCCGGGAAATAAATCTTAGCACAGGCTGACGTTGTGACGCGTCGTGGTGCATGTGTCCGCGTGAAGAGCGGTGGGAGAGCGATCGGCGTACGACGGTGTGTGGATGACTATAAATCAGTGTGGGTGTGACGCGCGCGCATATTAAAATACCAACGGTTGCCGCTCCGGCGCGTGTCAATGCGCGCACCACAGTATTAACGGTGAGACACGCGCGAGGGTCGCGCGGAGAAACCGCGTGGGTGGGTGGGGGAGGGGGCCGCGCGAGCGCCGATTAATTTATTTATACTCGGACCGCGCGGGAGCGTTCGCCTTTTTGACACAACGGCTTAGTGGAAATTATGAATTACACACACACACAGCGGCGAGTCAAACACTTGCGTAATCCAGGCAGTTAGGACCCGCGAGTGGGCGAAGGCACGCGGGGCGTAATCAAACCCTAGGCGGGGTCGGCCAGCCGCCAGCTATGTCGGTCCGAGAGGACCCTGGTACGGGAGGGGGGGGGGCGGTCACCCGCTCGGGAGACCCCGAAAGACGCAAACGCGGAGGGGACGGGGGTGGTGGAGGCAAACATCACCCCCCCCCCCCCCACTCTCGCTCGTGGAGAGTGAGAGATCAGCCCCCACGTAATGGGGAGTGGGGAGGGGGGCATCAGCCCCCACAAATTGGTGTCAGAGGTGGTACGAACCCCCACATCCCCACGGGAGAGGTGCGTAGCACCACATGCAAAAATAAGGAATGTGTTCACCGGCCAGGGGACCCCTTCACGGAAAGCGTTTGCCCGCAACATCATAGGGGCTAAAGACATTAATGGCTGGATGGACGCGCAGGCGTTACGCCGACTTGCTATGAACCTGGATGGGCGGGCGGGCGGCCGACTTTGTGGAGGCCCTACCCGCAAGCGCGTAAACCCAATTAGAGGAGTTGATGCGCTGACTTGATCTGCGCTTCGGTGCGCGTGATGAGGAGGCAAAGGCAGCCTTAGAGGCGTGCCGCCGCCAACCCGGCCTGAGGACTTTTCTACCTATGCCGAGGATGTGCGCGCGCTAACAAAGATCGTACGCCCGGGGTACACGACCGAGGCGATTGAGGACCTCGCCGCCGAGAAGATCCAGCGGTACTTGGCTCGCACCTCGTGGTGGCAGCCCGATGTAAGCTGTGCACGTCTACCCTTTAACGCCCTTGTCGAGCGTGCGCATAAATGCGAGAGACTGTCTAGTGAGCGCGAGCAAAGCTTCGGGGGGCTGGGACGAGAGCGTGCCATCGCGAGCCTACTCCCAGAGGAGGAAGAGGAGGAGGAGGAGCTCGCCAGGACGGTAAGGGGGTGGGCAAGGGAGCCCCCGGGACCCCGCGAGACAACCCCGGGCTGGGTAGTGGGGATACAGACGGGCATCGGGAGGATAGACAACAAGGTGGCCCAAGTTGGCGGGGAGGTGGCCCAAGTTGGCGGGGAGGTGAACCGAGTTAGCGGGGAGGTGACCCAAGTGCGCGGCCATATCACCAAACTGCAGTCTACCGTGGAGACGATCCAGTCCGAGATGGGTGAACTACGCTCCACGGTAGGAGGGCTAACCGGGAGGGTGGCCCGACTAGAGGCAGAGTCTGGAGGGGAAGTAGGGAGTGGGCGGGGAAGCCCCTAGGGGCCGCCGCCCTTCCCCGGGCGTGCTACCTGTGCGACCGTCGAGGGCATCTCGTGAGAGACTGTCCTCAGATCGCCCGCGCTAGACACGCGCCAGGGTTAAACTCTAGGGAGTGAACCAACTAGGGGTGCAATCGACACGGTCCCAACACAAAAAGACAATAATAATGGCGAGCGAGTGACCTCCACACAGATTCCGGCAACAACACCCAAGGAGGCGGTGAGGACGGGTGACTGGCTGCGGGAGCTGGTGGCGGGAATCACGGGGGCCACGTCGCTGGTGGAAGGGCAGGTGAACGGGCGGCGCACCCGGATTTTGCTGGACACGAGGGCGGTGGCCTCACTCGTGAGCGCCACGCACTGCAGCGTGCTCGGGGTTGACGTGGGGCGCCTGCAGGCCCCGGATCGCGCGCTGCACACGGCGAGTGGAGCCGGGATGGGACCTCTGGGGAGGGTCACCCTGGAAGTCCATCTCGGACGCCAGGTGTGTGACCAAGAGTTCTATGTCTCGAGCGTGTTATGCCACGAGTGTATCGCAGTTACGGACCTCCTGGAAAAGTTGGGGCTCAACGTGCAGCCCCGCCAGCGATGCGCCACCATGGAAGGCAGCGGGGAGCGGATTCCGCTTCACACCCGTGGCCGCTACCCTGGTGTCGGCCGTCACCATCGGGCCGCTCGCCGAGATGCTGGTGCCAGTGGCAACCCCCTCCACTGACCCCGCACATCGACCATCGGGCGAGGTAATGCTGACTCCTCACCCGGAGTTGGCAGCGCGGTACGGAGTGGTGGGATCAGCCACGCTGGTAAGCGCAGACGGGGGTCGACTGTTTATGCGGGTGTTTAACCCTCACAGTACCCCGGCAATGCTATGACGACGCACCACGGTATCCACCATACACCCCCTGCACGCGCGCCACTCTAACGACTCGGTGTTTGCCCTCTGGGCTGAGGACCCCGGTCGCCCCGAGGACAACCAGGACCTAGGCCTGGCGGGTCCGCCCGACTCCCCGAGCCGAGGTCGTCCCCTTGCGTGATGCGTTACATGTGCCACGGGCAGATTTACCTAAGGGGGAGGCCGATCAGCTGCGCGGGTTGTTGCGGGAGTACGCCGATGTGTTCAGTGAGCACGATTCGGATGTGGGCCGGACAGACCTTGTTAAGCACCAAATTGACAACGGTGCAGCCCGACCCATCAAACTCCCCGCATACCGAGTGGGCGCACCTGAACGGGCCCAGATCAAAGAGGCAGTCGTGGATATGCTCCGTGATAACATAATCCAGCCCTCGGCGAGCCCCTGGTCTGCACCGGTGTAGTGGCCTTAATGACGTCGGAGACTGTTCATAGAGGCAACACGTATTTATTACCAACACTTCGATCACAGTAACGAATCTAATACTTGGAGGGGTAACGGCCTCTCCACCCGTACTCTACAGAGGGAACGGTCCCCGAGCTCAAGCCTACGCTAGTTCCCTGGTTCCCTCCAACCTGGCCCTATCTCCCGAGGCTATCTGACCTAGCCCAGCTTCGGCGTAGGTCACGACCACCAGCCACACGAGTCCGGCCCTTAAAAGGACATCGGGCCTCGCGGCTCTGGGTCGCACCCTGGCTTGCTTTGCCCGGCCCTCAAAAGGACAGCGGGCCAAAGGAGTTCCAGGGTCTAGCTAGTTGATCTTCTTTCTTCACTGGTGCTTCATCTTGCTTGAGCCGAACTGAACTCCAGCACCCCGGGTCCCACCTTTTATACAGTTCCTCACTCAGGGGTGGGGCTCGCGAGGGATCCCAGCATCCCCCACAGCCCCCCAGGGTGGTCCGTAGTGGACGTGGTTGTAACCACTGCCCTACAACCGCGTGTCCCCCCTCCCGTCACACCTCTACACCGGTTGTACTAGTGACGAAAAAGGATGGATCGACCCGGTTTTGCGTCGATTATCGAAAGTTAAATGCAGCTACCCTCAGCGACGCCTTCCCATCCCCCGCATCAATGACACCTTTGACAGCCTCGCAGGGGCGCGGTATTTTTCCACCCTCAATCTAGCGTCCGGGTACTGGCAGGTGGAGATGGTGGAGGAGGATCGGTCAAAGACCGCGTTTACCACCCCGATGGGACTGTTCGAGTTCCGAATACTCCCGTTCGGACTCACTAACGTGCCTGCGACATTCCAGCGGTTGATGGAGTTGGTGATGGGGGGCTTGCAGTGGGAACAGTGCCTAATTTACCTGGATGATGTGATAGTGTTCAGAAGATCTCTGTCTGAGCACTGGTCCAGGTTACGGGAGGTGTTCCAGCAACTGCGAGTAGCCCATCTCAAGCTCAAGCTGTGTGTTACCTTGCGCAGCGCGAGGTTGGGTACCTCGGACACCGCGTCAGCGAGGCGGGGGTGCGCACCGACCAGGAGAAGGTACGCGCCGTAGTGGAATGGCCAAGACTGAGGAACCTGACGGAGATCAGGTCGTTTTTGGGGCTAGCCACTTATTGTCGTCGATTTGTCAAGGGATTCAGCGAGATTGCACGCCCCCTCACCCAACTCACTTCCCCCAAGAATCCCTATCAGTGGACGGAGGACCACCTCACCCACACCCCCACCCTGGCTTTCCCTGACCCTTTCCACCAATTTTATTTTGGACACCGATGCCTTCAGCAGTGGGCTGGGCACGGTGTTGTCACAGGTGTAGGAAGGGAGCGTATTGGCTCTCGCTCATGGTTCGAGATCTACCAAACCCACTGTTCCACAAAAACTGGCCGCTCTTACCCTGCAGGTTGAACCTAGGAATTGAGTGTTCAACTTCACATTCTTGTCATTAAAGGCCTGTGACAAAGGTGCATCTATTGGAGCGACATCGTCTCTGCCTTACACATCTACCGGGTCTCCATTTGACTTTGTATTGTCTCCGAGGAAGTCCACCCACACCTCCACTTCCACAAACTGCTGGGAGTTGCCTCGCTCTGCCTCACAGTCAGAATTCTCCTCTTGCTTCACGTTGCCTCCATTGATGTGAAGGCCCAATTTTGGAGTTGAATCTTCATCTTCACATTTTACCATCACTTCTTCGCTCTTCACCATCACTTCTTCACATTTCACCTTCACCTCTTCATATTTCACCTCAATACCTTTAAAATTGTCCAAGTTGGGATTTTCTTCCGGTTGTTTCATGAGGGATGGGCTCATTGCGGCACTTTGACTTTCACAAGCTGATTGCAGACTCCACTCCTTGTGGATCTTCTGATGCTTGTGTGTTCTCTGGTGTACTTGAAGATTTGATGACTGTGCAAACGCCTTCCCACACACACTGCACTTGAAGGGTTTCTCTCCTGTGTGTTTTCTCTGGTGTACTTGAAGATGTGATGAACGTGCAAACGCCTTCCCACACACACTGCATTTGAAGGGTTTCTCTCCCGTGTGAGTTCTCTGGTGTCTTTGAAGATATGTTGAATGTGCAAACGCCTTCCTACACACACTGCACTTGAAGGGTTTCTCTCCCGTGTGTGTTCTCTGGTGTGTTACAAAAGTAAATGAATATGAAAACGCCTTGCTACACACACTGCACTTGAAGGGTTTCTCTCCTGTGTGTGTTCTCTGGTGTGTTACAAGAGGAGATGACTGTGCAAACGCCTTCCCACACACACTGCACTTGAAGGGTTTCTCTCCCGTGTGTGTTCTCTGGTGTGCTACAAGAGCAGATGAACGTGCAAACGCCTTCCCACACACACTGCACTTGAAGGGTTTCTCTCCTGTGTGAGTTCTCTGGTGCCGTGTAAAATGTGCAGGACGATCCGTGCTGTTTGCACCGAGCCGCGCCGAGTGCCTTTGCTCCATCAGACAAATTCTGCAGAGGAAGCGACAGCTGCAGACAGAAAAAAATATCCACACCATCTACACGTCAGTATCGATGCACAGAGGAATGCATATACACAGTCACACGTCACTTACACGTCTATACTTATTCATATATTCATGGTAGAGTGAAAAATAGTCTCCAATTCATCACACGGGCTGTTTTGGCACACAATGAGAGGGCAAATGTCATAAGGAGTTGTCCTATGCTTTTTATGCGACGCGTGTGATCGGCATCGCGCTTGCTGAAGGTGTTTGCATTCGTATCTTCAAAATGAATGTTCACCCAAAACTCCGAGCACACAATTTCAGCTGTGTGGCTTCAAAAGGAATATTTATGAAAGCTAAATTCAGCTGACATGGCAAAGGGTATGGAAAATAATACTATTTGTGTTATGCAGAAATGCAGAAATTAATGTTCAATCGCAACTTAGAGGTGTGAAGCCAGGCACAGATGTCCTTGAATGCTGGGATGAACAGTTCTGACTTCAGCTGCACGTGTGCTGTGATAACTTCCTGATTCCATTCTTACAAAGAGTTCCAGAGGAAAACAAAAATAAACTACTGTTTTGATATAACCTCCATGCTCAATAGAGTTAATAGACTTTACTGCAAATACCAACTTGACCCTGTCACACACTCAAGAGGTGGAGCCAGGATTTTCAGGTAGGAGGGGCAACCCCTTCAGCAATGAAAAATGATAGTTGTTAGTAAGCAAGGAGTTGTTAGTAAGGAGTTGTTAGTAAGGAGTTGTTAGTAAGTAAGGACTTGTCCTATGCTTTTTATTGGACGCGGGTGATCGGCATCGCGCTCGCTTAAGGTGTTTGCCATCAGGGAAGTCGTGTACTGTATATGCAACTGAGCACAATTCTGAGTCGCTTGTAACTGCTTTGCCGTTAATTATTGCCAATTATGGACTCGGACTGTTGTCATCTCATAGAGTCCCTGGCACATAATAATATGCCACACGGTGGCAGTGGGGGTCGCAAAATGCTGATTTATCTATATATATAAAATGAAATGTGTGGATATGTGTGTCTGTTCGAAATGTTTAGCATACTTCCCGACATGCAACAAACTTGAAATTTGGCATGTGGGTAGCTTCCAGACTGGACACAATGCACAAAGTATTAAAATAGCCGTCATATCTGAGATGTCACCCTATGCGGCAGCGTTGCGCAGTGTGCCTGCTGACGTCATGCATCCCCCCTCCCAACACTCCGCGAAGGCCGTGTTTTAATCCAAGACAAGAATCAAAGTCCCGGGTGAAGCCAGGTAGGAAAGCTTGTCTATATATAAAAGGGAAATTTGTGGACGTGTGTGTGTGTCTGTGCGAAATGTTTAGCATACTTCTCAACATGCTACACACTTGAAATTTGGCATGTGGGTAGGTTCCATACGGTACACAATGAAACAAGATAAAAATATACTTTTGTATTTTGTGTGACCATGAAGTTTGTGGCGTCAACCCGCAACACACCTGAGTTAAGCGCTCTGCAATGCTTACCACTACCATATGGCTCTTCGCGTGCCATACTTCTAGAGCTGTAAACAGCGTGCCAGGAGATTTTAGGTGGTGCTTTGCTTCTGGCCGATGAAGCCATTGGCTTCTCGGAGTTTCAATACATATCCGTGTGAAGAACGGGTACAACAGCTATCTTTAATATAAAGCAGAAATTATGCCTGTTTGTGTGAAGCAAAACTCTCCAACGCTGAGCTCTGGCGTCATGAAATTTGCACAGCTTATGCTGTCTGGAATTTCTAAGTGAACGTGACTATTTTCAGCTTGCCACGTCACTCCCTTCCCGAGTTGCCAAAGTCGATATTACGTATAAGTGGGTTAAGGCCAAATTTCCTTCAGCAAAAAACATCCGATTTAGTTAAATTTATTTTTGTCAGCTTTTTTCTATCTTGCAAGCATCATTTTTTTTCATGGTTTTTCAGTGAAATAAGGGAATATGAAATTAATCCAAGACAATAATCCAAGTCCCGGGCGAAGCCGGGTAGGGAAGCTAGTTACTAATAAACCCCTAATTTCGATCGGATCGTTGGGGGGGCACGTGCCACCCTACCCCCACTGGCTCCACCACTGTCACGCACTGGCATGGTTTACAGGTGGTGGTGTGTCCAGACCCAAGCCTGGCCACCTTCACATGCTCAGCATTAATGCTTCCTCACTGCAACAAGTAATGCACTGAGGATCAATCAACACAGCCGAGGCTGCGTCTCCCTCTCTCTCCCTGTGGTCGCGTTGATTTCCCTCCCGATCCCCCGGTTTCCCCTCCACATGTATAGAGTGAACACCGCCACGCGTCTAGAGTGAACACCGCCACACGCCCAGAGTGAACACCGCCACGCGTCTAGAGTGAACACCGCCACGCTGTTGACGAGCCTCACCTTGTGATGTGGGCAGGTCGCTTCCGAAAACAAAAGCGGTACAGCAGCTCAAGCGGGCTTGGCCTGGTAAAAAAGAACGAAATAAAAACTGCGTGAATATTTAAAAGTAAAACAAAGTGACAAAGTGGCGAGCCCCGTGAAGACAAATTAAACTTAAGCGAGAGAATTGAAGCAAACGCGATCAGGCGAGGGCAAGAGGCAAGGCCACGCGTGGCTAGGCCCCGTGCTGTAAAGTTCCAACCTGGACATCGCTTCCATGCTCGCTGCTACTCAATTGACATCCCTACGAGAGAGAGCGAGGCTCTACCTCGGTAAACAACAACCACCACCACCACAACCACCACCACAACAACCACCGCAACAAACACCACCACAACAACAACCACAACAACCACAACCACCACCACAACCACCATAACCACAACAAACACCACCACAACAACCACCACAACCACCACCACAACCACCACCACTACCACAACCACCACAACAACCACCACCACAACCACCGCAACAACCACCACCACAACAACCACCACAACAACCACCACAACAACCACAACCTCCACAACAACCACCACACCAACCACAACCACCACCAGAACCACCACCACCAAAACAACAACCACCACAACAACCACCACCACAACAACCACCACTACAACAACCACAACCACCACAACAACCACCACCACCACAACAACCACCACCACAACCACCACAACCACCACAACAACCACCACCACCACAACAACCACCACCACAACCACCACCACAATAACCACCACCACAACAACCACCACGACAACCACCACCACAACCACCATCACAACAACCACCACCACAACAACCACAACAACCACCACAACAACCACCACAACAAGTAAAACAAAGTGACAAAGTGGCGAGCCGAGTGAAGACAAATTAAACTTAAGCGAGAGAATTGAAGCAAACGCGATCAGGCGAGGGCAGGAGGCAAGGCCCCGCGTGGCTAGGCCCCGCGCTGTAAAGTTTCAACCTGGACATCGCTTCCATGCTCGCTGCTACTCAATTGACATCCCTACGAGAGAGAGCGAGGCTCTACCTCGGTAAACAACAACCACCACCACAACAACAACCACCACAACCACCACAACCACAACCGCGATGAGAATTTCTCACCTCGGATTTCAGTGCACGGCGGAGCAGCAGCTTCCTGTTACTTCGTGACGTCACGCAGCAGCAGGAGTTGACATGACGTCACTTGCGGGGTACAAAACACTCCCCTCCCACAATGAGCGGCTCTGTGGGCGTGGGTGCCGAACTCGTCGCAATAAACTCGCGACGGCTTTCATGAATATATAATGTTAATGAGCTGCCAGTCACCGCGAGTAGCTTTGCCCAAACAAGGATTCTAGTTGAACAGGTAAGGGAAGTGACCCAGGCCGAGGTGACGTCACGCTCAAGGGCGCAGTGGACCGGGAGGGATGAATACCTTGGTGACATGACGTCACTAGCGAGGTACACCTCCCCCTGGCGTTACACGCCGATGAGGTAATGCTGAGTGGTGACGTCACAGAGCGGGGTTGGAGTTTAAGTTGATTTAGATTCATTTTCCCTTG